GTTAATAAATCTATTCTTTGTCGACAATCATGTTGCCAGATTTACCTTGTCCTTTCCAATTTTCTTGCCTTTTGTTTTCTTTTTCTCATCTAATGCACTGGGTAGGATATTGAATACAATTTCAAATAAAGGCAGTAAGAGCAGACATCTTGCCTTGTTCTCACTTGACTACTGCGCTACATCTCCGGCCCTTTTTACTTTACTTTTTGAGACAGGTTCTCATTAAGGTATTTAGAGCTTCAACCTCCCAAATTTCTAGGATTCCAGGTGTGTGCCACCACTCATAGCTTGTACTTAGACTTTTGGTATCTGTAACAATGTCTAATTTATAAATTGGGCACAACAAGAAATTATCAATAACTAATAATGAAATGGAACAATTTTTACAGTATACTATAATGAAAATTATGTGAATGTGGCCTCTCTAAATATGTTATGTAATATTTTCAGACTCCAGTTGACTGCAGGTAATAAACTGTAGAATGAGAAACTGAAGATAAGGAGGGAAATCTGTAATTTGTTTTTCATTGTGTCTGTTTTCTACTAAAACTATTAAATCAGTTGATTTCAGACACCTTGATTCTTTTTTGTTCCATTTTTTTGTTAAGATTCTCCATATTTTCACCTGTTTCCCCCCATATTTTTTGTTCTTAATATTTTAGTAATCATTTTAAAGTTGTTCTGTGCTAACTACAGTATTAGAATCTTTCCTAAATCAGTTTTTCTTACTGTTTTTTTTTTCCCCTCTAGTTTTGGTGACTTTTTCCTGCTTCATAAATTTTATTTTTTTAATGTGCTAGACATTGTAAAAAAGAGAGTCATAGAATCTAAGGGTATTACTTTTCCACCAGAGAGTATATAACCTTTTCTCTGTTAATCAGTTAGGGTATCTTAATCAGTTCAATCACTTCAAGGATTGTTCGAGTTGTGTTGGAGTTTTAGTTCACTTATTCTATCCCATGATTTTTCCAGATTGGTGGATTTTCTGGATTTTTCCTTTGTGCCCAACATATCTTTAATTCTTTTAAATATTGTGAAACTCTCAGTTAAGTCTCTCAGTTGTTTAAATTTAGCTCTTTAGATTCTTTACTCTTCATAGCTTTAGAATATGGTAAATGTTATAAGGGAAGACCTGCCAGGTTTTTGTTGCAGGTAAATTTTACTCAATGGAACTTCGTCTCATAAGCACTCTTACTATTGCAAGTGTTTTTCTGACCCTAGTCCCTTTCTTGGTATTGGCACTTTTGACAGAGGATGATGTTTTTCAAAGTTCTCCTCAGTGTTAGTTAAATCTGGTAGATGTATTTTGTTTGTTTTGTGTTTTTATTAGTTGTTTTAAGTTACATGTAACCTTAGTTTTAATTTTGGCATAATTATAAAAGCATGGAATATAATTTGCTTTAATTCAGTCTCTGATACTACCCCTTTTCCTCTCTCCTTCCTTCTTTTCTTCCCCGTTTCTTTCCTTCTATTCTGATCTGCTATTTATTTAAGGTTTGTTTTTTTTTTTTTTAAAGTAGTGCCTTGTGGTTATACATAAAGTTGGGAAACACTGTGATATGTTCATATAGATACTTAGGTTAGACCAGATTCATTCCACTATTCTTCCCTTATCCTGTCCTCCCTCCCTCCCACTTAATCCCCTTCTTCTACTTCACTGATCTTTCTTTAATTTTGATGGAATTCCTCTTTCTTGTCTTTCCTTTTCTTCCTCCTTATTTTGGACTAGCTTCTGCATATGGTAGATGTATTTTTAAGGGGAGGCCAGACATATATTTGCCAATGGCCTTTTGATCTAGTGGGACTAGAATTCTTCTAGTGCCTAGACTATTCTTGTTGTTTTGGATTAATCTCTCAGCCTTCTGTTCCACCAAAGCACTAAAAAATGTGTTATTGAGAAATCAGCTGAGCATTCCTCTAGATTCCACTTCATTATACCAACTCAGATATTAATCAAAACTCTAGCGATTTTTCTTTCTGAGTGGAGTATGTCTGTGTATTACCAAATCCCTACCTAAAAGTATCAAAAATATGTCTCTCTAGCATGTTGATTAGCAATATGGTAATATTTCTCGGTTGCTTCTATAGCTCTATGGCTTTTTTTAAACTCTGATTTTTGTAATGTATTCAGTTTTGTTTGTTTGTTGCAGTAGGAGTGATGGCCTGTGGCTGCCTATTATACCCTGTTATGTACTACTTGAAGTGGAAGTGTCCTTTTCAGATAACCTTTAATTTCTCTCTGTATTAATAGAATTATTATATCTTTTATTAGACTTATTAAGTATTTGATATTTTTATGATACTGCATATGACTTTTTTTAGATTTTAATTTACTTTTCTGATAAGAAAAATTTAGTGACTTTTTAAAAATTTGATGTTTTATCTTTCCAAAATTTACTTATACTCTAAGCTGAATATAGATTATTTTGGATTTTCTGTGCACACATTGTATGAAATATGAAAAGAAATTATTTTTCCTTCTTTATTCATATACATCTATTTCTTTTTTCCTGCCTCCTGCAAATATTATTTATCTCCTTAACTAAAATACATGGTGAGAATTGGTATCCTTGTTTGCTCTGAACTTCACAGGGAACATTCTTAGTATTTTGCTATTAAATATGATGGTGCATAACTATTAAGTTTTATTAAATTCTGTTTCTTCCTATGTTGGTATGGTCGTAATGTGTTTTCTCCTTTATTGATGTGGTGAATCGCATTGATTGCTTTTTTTTTTTTTTAATGTTAACTCTCCTTGTATTCCTCTGGTAAAACTATCTTGTATGAATTCGCTTACACACATCTGGGTGGATGTGTATACAGTGATAGAACAAGCAAGCACATAATACGCACACACAACATTTTGTTTGGGATTTTTACATTCTGTGTGCAAAAGAGATTGGTCAAGTTTTTTTCTTTTTTCATGATTATCCTTTTCAGTTAGTGTATATTAGGCACAGAGTAGAGATTAAAATTTTTTTGTTTTTATGAATTTTCTCTCTCTCTTTTTTTAAACAGGGGATTGAACCTAGGGGAGCTTAAACACTAAGCCACATCCCCAGCCCTTTTTATTTTTATTTTGAGACAGGGTCTCACTAAGTTGCTGAAGCTATCCTCGAACTTGAAATCCTTCTACTTCAGCCTCTGTTCTTAATATTGTTCTAATACTGTACAATATTATTCCCTCTTTTTGTACAGATTTTTTTTTATTTTTTTGAATAATTTTAGATTTATAGAAAAGACACAAAATAGAGCCCTCTATAGCCTTTTCCTTGTTTTTCCTGTTAATATCTTACATTGTCATAGTATATTTGACAAAGGTAAGACACCAACATTTATATGTTTTTTTAACTAACTTGCAGGCTTTAATTACATTTCACCTGTTTGTCCATTAATTTTCTTTTTCTGTTCCAAAACCTCGTCTGGTAATATCACATTCCATACCGTTGTTGCTGTGGTCTGAATGCCTGTGCCCTTTCTAAATTAGTATACTGAGCCCAGTCCCCTAAAGTAATGATTTAACAGGGGAACCTCTGAAAAGTAATTAGGCTGTGATGGTGTTTCTTCAGTTTGAGTTAGCATTCTTACAAAAGAAACCCAAGAAAGCTGTCTGTTCTTTTCTTCTATGTTAGGACATGATGAGAAGGTGCCATCTATGAACCAAACAGAGCGTAGTCAGTAAGCACAAAATCTGTCATTGCCCTGGTCTTGGACATTTCAGACTCCAGAACCATGAGCAATAAATTTCTGAAACCACATAGCATATGGGATTTTGTCACAGCAGTCCAGATGGAGATAGACAGTTGTTAATCTTAGCCACTTGTGGTATATGGTATTCTTCCTTGTTTTTCATGAACTTGGAAGTTTTGAGGAGTACTGGTGAGAAATAGCAGCTCCTGTTGGGTTTGGCTAATGTTTTTCTCTTGATTACATTGTTTTTTTGTGTGTGTGTTTTTTTAGGTTTAGGGAAAGAATACTACAAAGATGAAATATGCTTCTCTTACATCATATGGAGAATATGATATCCACATATCATTACTGATGATGTTAACTTTGCTAACTTGGATAAGGCAATGTTTTGCTAGGTTTCTCCACTGTGAAGCTACTCTTAACATTCTCTTCTTTTGAAATCTAGTCACTAAGTTCTGTCTGTACCCAAGGGGGAAGATAGAGTAAGCTTTTACCTCCTTTGGTGGGAAGTATCTAACATGTTATTTGAAATTCTTAAGCAAAATTTGTCTGTTCTTCCTAGTTATTTATTCAATTGTTTATGTACTCTATTGTTTTAATATGAATTCTCTATAATCTTAATATATTTAGCTAACATTGAAAACTTCTGATTCCCCTCTTCTCCCCGCTCTGCCCATTGACACATAAACCACTTGACGGTAGGATCTGTTTCTTCTTCATCTTTGTATTCCTAGGCTTTTAGCATGATGCCCTAATCTTACAATTAAAAACAAATAAATGAATTATATTCACTTCAAATGAAAAGTACCATTTCCTTTGTTAAATTACATAATGACATTATAAATTAAAATTAAGATTAGGTTTTAAAATAAAATTAAAGCCAGGCACGGTGGCACATGCCTGTAATACCAGCAGCTCAAGAGGCTGAGACAGGAGGATCATGAGTTCAAAGCCAGCCTCAGCAAATTAGTGAGGCCCTAAGCAACTTAGTGAGATCCTGTCTCTAAATAAAATATAAAAAAGGTCTGGGGATATGGCTCAGTGGTTAAGCACCCCTATACTATATTCAATCCCTAGTACATATATATGTACACACACACACACACACACACACACACACATATATATATATATTTTTTTTTAATTAAACGTGATCACATTTTAACATGTATCTGATAAAGTGAATGGTATAACTACCTTAATAGCATTTGAGATTGTTTGAGATTGTTGTGTTCACAAAATTTTCCTTGTAACTACTTAAATGTTCCTGACTAAGGATATGACCTGCTATAATCCTCTTTTTTGTTCAGTTCACCAGAACAGAGTAAGACCTCGTTATTTGCCTCTGAAAAGTTATCATCTGATGCGGTCACTCAGATAACAACAGAAAGCCCAGAAAAGACCATGTTTTCATCTGAGATTTTTATTAATGCTGAAGATCATGGAAGTAAAATTCTAGAGCCACATACTAAAAATCCACTGAAAGGTCCTGTCAGGTTTGCTTCATCATCTTCAGTGCAACAAATTACTACTTCTCGTGGCACAGATGGTAAGAGAATATGATTGCATTGTAGGTCATTTTATCAACTTTTACATGTGATTACCTTAGAAATTTATGATATTTGTCTTCCTGGTTCTTAAACTTAATTTAAGAATTAGGAGCCACATGATTATTATATCCATCTTTTATTTATATAGCTTTGAAAAGAATATGATTTACTATTTTTTTTTAAATCTTTCTTCCTTTTTTTTTTTTTTTAAAGAACTGACACCAAAGACCATTGTTTATTATGGAACTAGTTGAAGGTAATTACAGACATTATATTCAAGTGAGCAAACAGTTTTTGGCTTAAAGATCTCACCCTTCCAATATAAAGGCAACCAGTTTGAACACATAAATTGACTAAAAGGTATAGAAGCTCCTGTTGGGCAGGGTAATGACACCAAATGGGTGGGCCTGGCCTAGAAAAAATTGCCAGATAATCTCTTGACTATTGAAAACAGTCTGATACACAAAGTGACCATGTTTCCAATTGTTGAAGCTGTTTAGGTTTTCAGAATCCAAATCAATAGCAGTTACTGATCCCTGAAACTGACCATCCTTTGAAGGGGTATAGCCTCCCCCCTGGGCTTAGGTGCTGCCACTAGGTTTATAACTTGCACTTCAGTGTTCCATTCTCAAATCCTCACGAAAGGCCAATGCTCCAGGCTCCAGTACTCAGCTGCTGGTGATCCTTTTGCTAATATGCAACCTTATGACAGGCTGCTCCCTTCAATGTTCTATATTCTATATTAAGCCCACTGTCCAGTTTTGTTACTCCTCATGGCGGGCCGGGGTTCTGGGTTCTTAAATTTGCAGACCTGAGGCACCTGCCGTGGTAGCCCTCCATAAAGTCCACAGTGAAAAGCTTACCTTTATTTCTAGTAGAGTTAACATGTTTGGAATCATGCTGCTTGTGGTTGACTTATTTTTGTCACATGATATTTGTAATAAGAATGCAGATGCTTTGTAATAACATAAACAATTAAGATCTGCCGTTAGGTAGGCAAAACATTATTGGCATTTTAGATTATATTAATGTATACTACAATTAACAGATGCAAATATATGTGATAGTGCAAACAAAATAGTAGTTTATTTTGTGCTTATAATCTCTGATTAACCCAGGTTGATTATTTACCCCGCTGTCTTTAAAATGTAGAACCTGAAGTTATTTTAGATTCGCCGTTATAGTCAACTGGAATGAATGAGCAAAAAAGCATGGAGCACATGAGGGAGGTTTTATAGGCAAAACCTAGAAATGTCTCAAATCACTTTCACTAGGAATATAATTTAGCTGTATTTTTCAGGATGAAGAAGAAATGGATTTTGGAAAATAGCTAGTAGTCTATATCATAAGGTCTATATTTAGAGTGTTTTTGTGTGCTATGGTTTAAGTGATATTTAAGTATAAGTGATATTTTTATAGTGTTTATACTATATAACATTTAAAATTAAGTTATAAATTATTTCCCTTTTTAAGTATACAGTAGGAAATTAAAAAAAAATTTACTTTTTAGTTGTAGTTGGACACAATTACTTTATTTCACTTATTTATTTTTATGTGGTGCTGAGGATTGAACCCAGGGTCTCACACATGCGAGGCGAGCGCTCTATTTCTGAGCCACAACCTCAGCCCAACAGTAGGAAAATTAACATTTAAGTTTCTATTCTTCCTCATATGAAGGTTGGAACCTTGCTAATTTTAAAATATTTAACATTTTAAATAAATCTACATAAAATATATTTTAAGTTTTCCTTCTAATGCAAAAAGCTTACCCATCTGCATATTGATAGAATATGCCTAAATTGGTTATAATTCTTAAATATTTTATTATGAAAGAAAACCATACCAAAACTGTGTAATTTAGTCAGTAATCTCGAAGAGTACCTTTCTGTGTCAGTTGCCTCTTGTCACAGTGATGCTGTATAACAAGCAACCTCAAATATCTTAGTGGCTTATAACAAACATTTGCTTTTCTCATACCTGGGCTTTGGGTCAGTCGGACTTTGGCTGGGCTTGGCCTGCAGAAATGGTTTGGGCGTGTTCCAGGTGTTTCTAAGACCCAGGATACCCAGGTATGTTGCTCTCATGATGGTGGCAGAAACATGAGAGAGGAATCTCAGTTGTGAAAACTTATTTTTACCTCTATTTACATCCAGTGCATCCAGTGAATCAGTATATAGAGACCATGGTTAATGTTTTTTCTTTTTAATATTTATTTTTTAGTTGTAGTTGGACACAATACCTTTATTTTATTTATTTTTATGTGGTGCTGAGGATCAAACCAGGGCCTTGCACGTGCTTTTCCGCTGAGCCACCACCCCAGCCCCATGGTTAATGTTTTTTATATGCATTTATTCAAGGATTATCTTATTTAATTTACAAATCCAAATTTATTATTTTGAATACTGTGGGTCAAAATTTTAAAAATTGAGGCTTTTAAAAAAGCTCATTTAAAAAATGTACTTTAAAGTACAAAGAATTGTATTTTAAACCTATTACTTTTTATCTACTATGATTTAAAAGTTCAAAGCAATATACTATATGTTTATATTTTTCTATTTTCAAAATTTTAAAGAAATTTATTATTGAATTTTCTTCTTTACCTTTTTCCAGTTCTTTCTTTCTTTTATAGAGGTAAGCATTATTTGCTGAGCACTTGTTCTCCCCAGGCACATGGTCCAAAGTAACCTTAAGACTGTTAGGGAGAGGGGAAGAATAGAAGTTCGGTAGATTAGACAAAGGGCAATGAAGGGAAGGGGGGGGGGCAGGAAATAGGAAAGACTGTGGAATGAATCTGATTTAACTTTCCTATGTACATACATCACAGTGATTCTCTACATCATATACAACCACAAGACTGGGGTCCTAATTAGCATAAGATTCAGTGTTTCTATAAATTTGTCAAAATATATTCTATGGCTGGATATAACTAAAAACAACAACAACAATAAAAATGACTGTTGTATCCAGGGCTGGGGATGTGTGGTAGATTGTTTGCTTCGCTTGCACAAGTCCCTGAGTTCACTCTCCACTAGGGGGATGGAGGTGTGGGGGACATGACACGTGGACCAGTTATCTGTCTCAGAATCTTCCATCTCCATATAATAGCCATTGCACTATAGTTTTGCACAGTTAACCATTACTATCAAGCTTTATGTACACTGGTGGAGAAAGAAAATGAATAAATCAGTATTCTAATAATAATGACTACAATAATAACCAAATAGAATGGAGGCTGCAACCCTTTTTTAAGAAAAAATTTCCTGTTTTATTATGCCTGTAAGAGTGGTATAAAATTCTTAAGTCAACTGAGACTTCACTAGCCCTGCATATGTAGGGTAAGTTAATTTTTGTTTATTTCTATCATCAGGCATGTTAAGTAGTCTCCCAAGTGTTAGTTATATTCCTAATGACCATGATTTTTAAGGTCACTTTATTTCTTCTTGATAATTCAGGTCAATCAAGAGTTAGTCAACACTATGCATACTACTCTATTTATTGCTTTAATGAAAGAAAAAAATATAAAATGGCTAGATAGCTTCTGTCCTTTGTGGAAATTTCCCTGTCTCATTTCTGAGATCTTCCATCTAATAAACATCAGAATCACAAAGATTGAAAGAAAAAAAATTTCTGAAAGGGCTTCTACCTTTGATCCTAAATGCATGTATTCTTTCTGGCACTTGAGATAGGCAAATACAGTATATGGTTCAGTACATACATATACCGTATTCTATAATGTAGCATTCTAGTCCTAGAAAGTGTTGTCCCCCAGCTAGTACCATAATAGTAATTAAGTTAACTTGTTTTTTTTTTGGTTTAGCATAGTTGTGGGTTATAAGACGTGGTAAGTACAGTGAATTCCCCTTTAGGCATCAGCATTTTGTCTTACTTCGTTTGATGTAAATGTTCTTACTTACTTTTCTGACTTGGACAGTTAATTAACTGTGAAATTCAATGCCAAAATAAGTCATCAGAACTGTCAAGGATATTAACACAATTCTAAGGATATAAAGGTTGTTATTGTTCATAATGAAGGAAATCTCATTCTACTGCAGGACAGTTAGACTCTATCAAGAGCATTTTGATTTTTATACAGATGTGGGCAACTAGAAATCCATCTAGCTGTGGTAGATAATAAGAGAAATTAAAGGAGATTTGAGGTGTTCAGCCAGGAGATAGTGTTCATCATAATTCTGTTTTTATGAGCATATAATACTGAAAAATAACCTAAATGAATGTTTTATATGTCTTGTATACAGAAAATATTAATCCTTTGCGTAGAGATTGAAAAGAGAAAATAATAATTGACTAAATTAAGAGAAAGGTGTTTCTGGCTGGGAAAGCTGAATATTGCAAAGATGCCATTTGTTTCCTAGTAAATATGTACTCTAACAGAGTTCTGCTCAGATTTCTTCTTTTGGACTTGTGTATTTGACTTAATTTTATCAGGAAGAATAAAAGAAAATCTGGAGGAAAAAAAGAGTAACTCTTTTTGCTCTTATTTGTCATAATGGTGAAAATAGGGTACATATAATGTGTTATTCAAATAAATATATTACTTAGAGCAAAGAGGATTGAAAGAACTCAATGCTTTACCTCTAAACATATCAGTATTACTCCTTGAGACACTTCATATTTTCAAATTCATTTACATTTTTACAATAACCCTAAGTGGTAAGTGTTGTCATTCAAGCACATTTTGTAGGTAAGGAAAGTAAGGCAAAAAAGGGTTTTTGCTCAGGATCAGTAGTGATTGTTGGCTCCAGTTGATATAAAATTGATCAATTGCTTACTGACTAGGTATTAGTGTAATAGCAGCTATTCTATCATAGAAATTCTGAACTGCAGGTAGGTGGTGGTCTAGGTTTGGTAGCTGTGCTCCACCTCTGGAGGCTCTGACTTTTTTGTTTGTTGGGGAAAAAAAACATGCACTTTACCACTGAGCTACACCTCCAGCCCTCCGCGCATCCTTTAATTGTGACTCCCAAATCTGCATGGAAACTACCATGATATGCAGTGCCTAAGAAGAGGTGGCGCTTATAGTGGGATCCCTTTAATGGAATGCCTGAATTTTGTACTCATTCTTGCTTCGTCCTGTAGACTGAAACTTGGTCACATGTTCAGACATGGTTGTTGTAAGGAAGATTGGAAAATATAATGTATAGATGAAAGGAGAAGGAAGGATAAATATTATTGGCCACTTGATGGTTAATACCACACCATGAAAGAAAAATAAGTACACCTGCCCCTCCATATCTGTGGGTTCTACATCCATGAATCCAAACACAGATTGAAAATATTCAGAGAAAATAATTGCACCTGTACATGTATAAACTTTTGTCTTCTCGTTATTCCCTTAACAGTGCAGTTTAGCAAATACAAGAAATCTAGAGAAGATTTAAAGTATTCAAGAGAATGTGCAAATACTGTGTCATTTTACACAATTTTACTTAAAGGATTTGAGCCTCCACAGATTTTGGTGTCTGGGGAGGTCCTGGAATCAATCCCCCAGCTACCAAGGGACAACTATGTATAGAAAAAAAGTTTAGCTCTACACTAATCAAATAAGAGCACATTTAAATAATTAGCCATATTAGCAAAGAATTATTTCTTAATGACTATACATACTATATTAGAGTAAGAATAAATTGGCACAGACATTTGAGAAAGTATTTTTACAGCTGGACTTTAAAAAAAATTTCATACATGGTATAGTTTTTCACTCTATAAACAACAGAATTTAACTGAGGTGGGTGGGCAGCAGGGAAGAATAAGTATGCTATAACCAGAAAACTCTTCACTATAATTGAAAATTTTAACTCCTCCTAAATGTTCAACAGTAAGAACAAGGTTGAATACATTTTATCTGTGGTATTGCCATAAGAAATAAGAAAGATAGGATAAAATGAATGTTTTATTAATGTAAAGTAGAAAAGCTGAATTCAAATTATACTTACTATATGACAATTATGTAAACAAAAAACGGGGGAAAGATAGGTAGGATATACATTAAAATACCATGAGTGGCACATGACCTTGTCTTTTTTACCTGTATTTTCTTAATATTGAGAATTTATACTTTTATAATGGAAACTTTGTTTCAAAACAATATCACAAGAAAAGAACTATGTTCTGTGACTCTGGGAGTAGAATAAGACTAGCAGGAGATATTAACAATGACCAGATTTTGAGTTCAATGTAAGAAAACCTGTTTTTTTTAGTTAGAGCCATCTAAAAATTCATTACTATAAAAACTCATCTTCTCAATGAGACCTGCCTGTGTCATCCTATTTTAAGAGCATCCTGTCCTGATTTTCCCTGTATTACCAACCTCTCACAATATTTTCTAATTGTTTTTTCATATCACTGACAATTTATTAAAATACTAGAGAGTTTGCTCATTTAGTTTAGTTGTGTACCATGTATCTCCCATCTCTAGAATTCTGATTCCTCTTGAAAAACAAAGATTGATTTCTGTTTAGTTCATTGATACATCATTAAGAAACTCAAACACTGTCTTGTACATGGAATGTGCTAATATGTATTCAATGAATTAATCTCTTTTTTTATTAATTGTTCTTATCTTTACCTCTTTAGCCCAGCCTTTACTGTTGCCATATAAACCACCTGGTAGTTCGAAGATGTACTATGTTCCACAATTAGAAACAGTTCCTTCATTTCCAGATTCCAAATCTGATACCACCATTGAGAGTTCACATTCAGGTATTATGCAGAAATTAGTCAAATTTTAATTTTTTTTGCAAATTTATTTGTGTGTTGGCTGGTTGATTATAAAATGACAAATTAAAGTTCCTTCTTAATCTTCAGTGAAGTATGTAGCTTTGCATGTCTTTATCTTTGATTCGGATAGGTAAGTTATTTGATCAGATTGCATGAACAATTATTTGTTTAGGTTAGTGGATTCCATTTATGGAAAAGGTTTCTAAGCTTTCTTGGTTCACAGTGCCCTTAATATTTCAGTGCTGTTTTCTCCTCAAATTATGTCTGATGCAGATAAGTACAAAAAGTGTTTTTTCAAGTAGCTACTAGGTTATTAGGACATAAATACTGTTTTGATCTGACAACTTAGTGAACAAAACTTATTTCCTATGGCTTTGGTTTTTGAAAAAAAATTTTGTTCATAAGTAACCACGGTTCCTAATGATATATGTGCAGCTGTTAGGTACTGTTTGGTACTTGAGATCCATTTGGACAGCCTCTCTTATTTCCTATTTTTTATAACAGCAAATGCCCAAAAGCCAGCTTTACAAAGACAAGGCAAGCATTGAAAGGGACATAACACTATCAGATGTTGACATATTAAACTACCTTGAGCTTATAGTTTATGGAATACATCAGATATTAATTATCACTGTCTTCCCCTAGAATTTTAAAATATCCTGCAACATTCCTGTGAGCACATTATAAGGGAACTGCAAATTTAGGAAATGTATAGCACCTTCTGGAGGTGGACTTATGTATTTTGGCAGAATATACGTACAAAGAGTATAACTTAAATATTATATTTAGGATCCAAGGCAAAAACGTTTTGATTTGATGGAATAACATTTTGGGTGTTCTGTAGGATATTACTCGGTTCACTTTAGACAAATGATTTTCTTCTTGATTTGTCTATAAACAACTTTGTGCAGAAATGGAAAGAAAATAAAAGTTCCTGCAATTGGGCAGATTTTTGGGTTAGTTTTATATGAAAATGGAACAGACTAGTTTCTCATGGCAACTACATTAACAGCTCTGATACAACCTCTAATCTCCCACTGTAAAGGAGCTGAAATGCTGAGGATTAAATCTACAGTCCAAAACCGAGAAATTTTCACCTTCTGCAAAGCTTTGTTTTTTAAAACACACTTACCAGAAATAAAACAGGCTCACTTAGTTGATTGTCAGTAGGAAAATCTTTTGATCCCTTTTATTGCTAGTTCAGAAGATAGAATATCTATCTACAGTAGAAATCTGGTCAGGTGTTCCAGTACTTTCTGAGGACTTTAGTGTCCTGCTATCCATTGACATCTTTTGGCAGCCAAAGAAAGAACTTGGAAGACTCAGTGGAAAGAATTTGGACATTTTATTACACACTCTTCAGTGGTGAAAGGCTGGACAAAATGGAGGGCCACACTGTGCTCACAAGCAAGGGAAATATAAAGAGGATTGGTTGTATGCCTACTGCACTGATGAATTTCTTCAGATGGTTTTTAAGTACATTCTTTTTTTAATATTTAATTTTTAGTTGTAGGTAGACACAATACCTTCATTTTATTTTTATGTGGTGCTGAGGATCGAACCCAGTGCCTCATGCATGTTGGGTGAGTGCTCTACCTCTGGGCCATAACCCCAGCACTTGAGTTCATTCTTTAACTTTACAAACAAGTTTGCTCTGCTTTGATACCCGTCTAAAGATTGGAGACCAGGGAAATGATCAGTTGTCCTTCTCTTTACCTTTGTTATTCTTTGAAGTCCTTCTTATCTCACCACCCTGAATAATAAACCTTCCTAGGCACTGACTGGTGTTTACCCCAACAGCCTCCGGATTCAAGCAGCTTGACTCTGGGTCCCAACAGACAACTTGGTCACTTATCTTTATTTGGAGTCTAGTTAACAACAGAGAGAAATGATGATAAAGAATTGAATTTATTTTTGGTTTGGCAATAACTGGGAAGACAGCCAACCTAAACCTGTCTTCCCAGAAGCCATACTAGCATTAGAATTTAAAAGAAGAGGACAAAAGCCAAGAAATATGCATAGCATGTGATTATAAATCTGATTCTTTGATTTTTGGTACCTGGGGCTTGGACTCCCAGCTTGAGATGAGGCTGGCAGGAAAAAAGCCATTTACAGAGTCTTTCAATTTTAAAGGACCCCCTGTTGCAATTCCTCCCTTTATCCATTCCTCAATCTTGAGGGATTTGAGGCTACATATCATCTGACTATTTGTTTTTGGATTGGAGTGTAGATCCCATCAAGGGCATCTGAAGTGTATAAGTAAAAGGAGTCAGATGTTTGAGCCTAAAAGTAGAAGTACCAGTGTAGATTGTAGAGATGGCGCCAGAGTCACAAGATACTTGTTATGGTTTAGGTACTAGGTGTCTCTCAGAAGCTAATGTGTAAAACAATTCAAGAAAACTTAAATGTGAAAGGATTGAGTTAGGAGGATCTTAACCTAATCAATGCATTAATCCCTTGATATGGATTAACTGGGTGATAACTGTAGGCAGGTAGGGTGTGGCTGGAGGAGGTGGGCATGGGGGCATGACTTTTACTTTTAGGGTATATATTTTGTGTGTTGTGAGAAGAGTTGCTCTCTCCTTTCTGGTGTGATGTCCTGAGCCACTGTCTACCACATACTCTTCCCATATATGATGTGTTCTGCCTTGTGCCTTGCCTGGGTCCAGAGCAATGGAGCCAGCTGCCTATGGACTGAGACCTCTGAAACTGTGAGCCCTCAAATAAACTTGTCCTTCTCTAAATTTGTTCTTGTCAGGTCTTTTGGTCACAGCAACAAAAAAACTGACTAAAACAATACCCAATTAAATACATTATGTGGAAGGTCCTCTCTGTAAACGCATGGCAACCAAAAGACGGAGGCAGGAGACTGGAAGCAAACCTTGGATCAGCAAGCTTTCCTTTATTCTGCAGTGAAATCAATCAGCATCTCTTCCTTTATTCTCAAATTCCTGTCTCATGAGGAGGTTTCCCAAAAGGGAGGTGGATCTCAACTCAGGTCATAAGGGTTATTGACATCATCACAGAAAGAATGTAAGGACAGATCAGGGTCAAAGTGAAGCACAGATTGATTTTATTGAGAGAAAAAAAATATAAGAGACATGATAGAGCATGGGTATTGGAGACGAACATGCTAATCACATCATAGGCATATTGATGTGTGTAAAATCTATAGTACGAAGACATGATCTGAGAGGGTATTTTCAGTCCTCCTTTCTGTTGCTAACTGGACATGTCAGTTATTACTTACTAGGGATCATTTTCTTTTCTTCTTTGTTTAGGATGAAAAATCACTGATAATTTCACATCAAGGGTTTTATTGTTCTGTTTTGTTAATTAAACAGTACCACATTGATGTAACATTGATGGTGTGATGCAGAGTATGACACATAGATTAACTACTTTGATCCTAAAGATATAAATCTTATGAATATCTGCATGTTGAACAAAAGCATTCTTGGACCTGTTTTTCTTTTAGGGCTATGTCAGAAAAGAAGTTATTTATGAACCTGCAGATAAGTTCTAATTATTGATTTAATTGTGCTGTTTCTAATGAGAGTATCGTGAAAGTGACTTTTCAGTTTCGACTTTTAATCCTTGTGAAAATGGACTTTAAATCATGGCCACTCTTGTCCCATATGTCTCCTTTCTGCCTGTTCTGATGTCTTCTATCGTACCTCACCAAGATCACCACACTTTTGTAAATTTTACAAAATTTTAGAATATTTGTATTAATGACACGTATGCCATCTAATTGAAAAAACAATCATAGTTCATTTAACCAGAGTAACAAAGTGATTATTTAAAAGATTTTGCAACAAATAAGTGCTTAAATAAACCCTCTTTTAAAGATTTAATTTCCCCAAGTAGTCAAAACCTAACAATAACCTGGAGAAAACACAAGAAGTTATTTTGATAAAACATAAAACTTTTGATTTTTAAAGTTGGTTCTTTGTAAATTTTACTAAGAGCAGATCAAAGTCTTGTTGCTGTAAACGTAAATAACGAGATTTTGGCTTTATATCAGTGTGTTCAATTTTGATTTTAGAAAAGCTTATAAATAATTTTTATTTATAGTCAACACATACAAATTTCACATAAGATCTATCCTTTATAAAACTTCAGGTTTTTTTATTTTTTAAGAATCTATGTTAGTTATTTAAATTTTTAGTTCTGTTCCTCTCTTTTTCTCATTTTGAAACAATTCAGCCATTTTAGGACAAAAATCCTTATCAATATAAAATCTTTTTGTTCAATTTAAAAACATTTTGTATTTTAATGATTTTTTTCACTCATTACATTTAAATGTTCTACTCAAAAAATATGTAAATGATTGCATATTTTGATAGTATGTTCTGAAAGTACTACAAAGATATATGAGTAATTTACAGCAAAACAAAATGGTTAGATTTGTAATTCTTAGACTATTATAAAATGATGTCATCCCAGAAGTCAGAAACCCCACATATGCTATCAGTACTTTTTAAAATCATCTGTTATTTCTCTCAGCCTATTTTGGGCTTGGGATAAGGAAGGATACATGAAATAAAATTAAATTTCTTATGTTTAAGATTTCAATATGTTTTAAACATCACTTGATTATAAACTTTTTATAGGAACTAGTACTTAACAACAAGGCCTCAAATATGTAGAAAAAACTGGCAGCTTCTTTTCAAAAACCAACATAATTAAATGTAGAAATAAACTAAAAACAATTCAAGCCAGCCAGAAAAAGGTTACATGTTGTGTGATTTCAGTTATGTGAAATGTGCAGAATAAATTCATAAAGACAGAAAGTAGAATACTGATGATGGGTAGAAGCTATGGGAATAAAGGAATGGGGAATAACTGCTTATATATACAGGGTTTCTTTGTGGAATGATGAAAACTTACAAAATTAGAGTGCAGTATTCACTTTGAATACAATAAAGATTGCTGAGCTATACTGTAAATGGGTAAATTTTATGTAGTAGATTATATCT